GGTGAACTACGTAAAGGCTTGATTTCTTGGAGAGGATACGTAGGAAGTCAGTTTTCTGATACAGCCGATTTGGTGAGTAGACACAGTTGTTTTGGGGTTAAGTGTTCGCACTCCCGTTTGGGTCTCGACCTGTTGTGATTGGAGTCCGTTGTCATGAGTCTGTTGCCATGGCGTACTGGATGCAACAGTTGAGGTATTGGTTTGGTTGGTGTCGGCTCAGTTTTTGGTAGAATCTTCGCCGAGGTGGAGATTTGTGGAACTAGCAGCAGGGCAGTCGACCGGTCCGGTCGACCGCGATGGATCGCGGTCGACCGTACCGGTCGACCGCCGCTGCGGTTTTGAGTTGGGTCTGTTTTCAGACCCGTTTCGTTTTGGATTTGTATAAATACCCTTTGGGTGTTTTTTAGGGTTATGAGCAAGGACGAATTTGAGCAGATTGAGAGAGTTTTCTTTGGGCTTCTATTCTAGGAGCAATTGGAGAGATTGAGAGTTGATTGTTGAGGGTTTATGAGAGATTTGTAACCCTAGTTTGTTCCTCTTGATTTCTAATAGTGAAAACTCCCCCCTCCTTGCCCCGTGGACGTAGGCATCTTGCCGAACCACGTAAAACTGGTGTTTGATTGTTTGTGCTATTGTTTTTGGTTGGTTCTTTATCTTTCTCGGCGATTGGTTTGGTTTCTCGAGGCGCAACAAATTAAACATAGATGATATTGTAATAGAAACTAACGTGAAGCTATTGATTAACTATATTATAAGATATAACAAACTAGACAAGAAGAAGAAAATCACTATAATTGACAAAAGGTATCCACATAATACTTACTTAACAAGTCAGACAAAAGGTGGAAAATCATTATAGTGGATAAAATATATACATATGATACTTACTTATCATAATTTAAGAAAAAAGTTTACCAATATACAAATACGCTATTGCACATTCAAGACAAAAATAACTATCAGTTATAGTAGACTTGAGCTGTGGTTTTACGCTTGCAAAGGCCGCAACAAGAAGGTGGATATAGTTGTTAATAACGAGTGTCCAAATGATAAATGTTATAGAATCTCTGATGACTTAGGACATTGCAAAGGTAACACTGTTTGACATAGTTGAAACTTTTATTAGGTTCACAATACAAGAATTCATTGCAAAGAAAAAATAGGTCAATCCTAACTTAACTTAAATAATGAATTAGAAACACATAAAATTTATCATATATGTCAAATTAACATTTGTTCTCATTGAAATTACTTGTAAAGTTAAATGAGAAGATAAAAGATAAATGAGCCCAAGAAAAGATAATAGCATAAGAAATCCAGGTCCACATTGATGTCACAATTAATATAAATGATGAAGACATCACTCAAAAATTACCCTAGAAAAAGATAAAAGTAAAGAAGGCTTGATCTCGGCTCAATAAAAAATAAAATAGAAAGAATAAAAAAGAATATTTTCTTAATATTTTATAGAATAGCCTAATTTTTTGAGTAAAATTAGGAATATTTGGAAAAGGTTTTCATGAATTTTAAAATATTTTTATATACTTATTTTGTGGACGTTTTATTATATAAAATTATAATAGAGTTAGCATTAATATTTAGTTTATGTTTTTTAATGAAGTCTATCAATAATTAGGAATAAAATTCTTACTCTCTTTTGTGCCATTTTAGCCACTTCTAATCAATTGTCTACGCTTATTGGCTTTAATTATTCCTCTTACTATTATAATGCTATTTTTCAAGTATTTTTTACTTTTACAACACTATACTTCTATAGGTAAAAGTTTCTTTCATGTCGATCCAAATAACATGAATATTCATATTGGCTTTATGTTGGTTTTGTGCTAATTCAATTATCAATATGAAATTTAAAATTGAGTGTAACCCAATCAAACAGACATTAAAGAATATACATAATCACATTATTAAATTTTAGAGACATAAGTGAGTAAAAACTATCAAATTGAAATCGAAGAACAAATTTTAGTAAGGAAACAAACTAAAAATAAATAATTATGATATTTAACCACGTGCATAAAAACTAGTAGAAACAAATAAGCCAGTAGTAATAAAAAAATAGAAGACGAGAATATTCTCATTATCAAAGGATCACATATATATTGTATTGTTATTTGACGGAGAGGTTTTATTGATTATTTACTAATTGTAATTATTTCTTTACAAAATTTGTGATTTTTTTTTAAATTTCAAACAAATAAGGGCCGCATGCGTATTAGTTCCATAGGCTTGAATGTTTTACGAGTAAGCATCCGGATCAATTCGTTTCTTTCTGTCATTTTTTTTTTCCTTCTTAACTTCCAATTGTTTCATAGCCGGTGAAAATGATGGTAAGTGACGGTCCAATCTGATCGTTGTAGTAACGTTAAATTGCCGGACAACGACACGTGGTTTTAACTACAAAGTTCCATTGTTACTGATGACACTGAACAAGTCTCTGTCCGTGGTGCGTGTGATGACACTAAACAGTTGGATTTAAGAATCCCTTACGCCTCGTTTGGTATGTAGGAATGGACAGAAGTGAGAATGAAATAAAAGAAGGAATAGAATGAATTGTATGTGGGAATGGAATGGTCATTCCCATTCTCATGTTTGGGTACTTTTGTAGAATGAAGCTAGAATAAAAATCTCATTTCCATTCTCATGTTTGGTATCACTAGTTCACAAGTGAGAATGGAATCTCATTTTCTAATACGTAGTCAAAGAACCATTATTTCTTGGTTTATTTTTATTATTAATAGGGGTATAATTGAAAAATACCTAACTGAATTGATTCTCCCTTGAATGGGAATGAGCATTCCCTATCTTCTCACTGAGAATGCTCATTCTCACAGAAAGTGGGAATGGTCATTCCTTGGGAATGGTCATTCCAACATCTAAAAAATAGGTTTGTTTGGTATGAAGGAATAAGACGTGAGAATGTCATTCCATTCCACCACATTCCCGCCTACCAAACGAGGCCTTATGGCAATCCATGTACTTCAGTCAACTAAAGTTACAACAACACTAAAGTATTTCTTCCAAATGTTTAGAGTTGACTACATGGATTTTATTCTTTTATTCTGTTCAATCAAATAAAGTTGTTCCTCCTGAATAAATATCGTTGTCGATCAATTACCGACAAAGTTTTGCCTTCAATAAAAACTATGACATGTGATAATCAATCAACATTGAGGATTCTATCAGATTCGTACCTATAGAAGTGGGCTGATCTACATAAAAAATAAAAGAATTATAATTTTTAAATTAACACTCTAACCACCGTTGAATGGTATAGATCATTATTTTCTATGGGATGTTCTGATAGAATCCTTAATTATCAATCAAACAACTCAGTTGACATGCCCTTCTTTAGCTGGGCATTACGCGTGTTGCCCTGTTTACTACGGCAACAATCCCCCAACCAAAAGGACTTTTTTACTTTTTGATGTGATATCAACTCAAGATGGACTTGTAATTATTTATTATTAAAAAAACCATGCGTTTAACATTACGAATGACAGAAAAGGAGGGGGAGAAAAAGAACAAAGAGAAAGAGAGACGACCTTCAATATAAGGGAGAAGCCATAAAATGGTGGGAATATAATAGGTAAAAGTTACCTCTATCTCTTGATCTCAGCTTCCCTTTGTATTCGGGAGTGCTGAGGTAAACGCAAATGTCATTGAAAACGCCGAATGCGGCTCCTCTCGATTTCTTACGAGATAAGTCAAGTTAAGCATTTTTATTTTTATTTTTATGTTTTATTGTATTGAAAATTTCAAATGCCAAACCGTTCAAAAATACCATTCCTCGTTTAGACTCCACCAGACTCCCGGGACCCATCTTTGGGACCCAGCTGTCAGGGGCTGTGCAGATTATATGAAACCTGCATTAGCATTTCCTGTTTGTTAGTGCTCGTGTTACGTACGATCCACTTGAATAATAGCTGTTTTAGTCACTATATTATTACAATACAATGCGTATATTACAATGTAATGTACTAATGTGGATTGCATGCGGTTGCTGACATGTGGATAGCAAAACAAATCTAGCAAAAATAGAAGCATCATTTTCTTCAGTTGGTTTTTTTTTAATATAGATATAAATAGTCATATATTGATATAATTGGAATCCACCAGAGAGGCTCCTATCCTCCTAAAATAATTACAAATATAACAAATGCACTTTGGAATTTACATATTGCAATCTTGAGCTTAAATTATCTCATGACTTGGCCTCTTGTTTTATTACTGAATCATACCTTGGTGATATCGACCGCAAGCAAAGAAGCAAACCCGGCAAAAAAAATGTTTATCGTGGAGAGCAACGTTTTAAGATACAGGAATTAGCTTTAATGATCTCTGACCTCTTCTGGCTGCTAAGATTTGATGCATGTCATAAACGTCTGCTCAAATTATTGGTGCATCCATAGTCAAAATCTTCAATTTAATTTTATTTGTATCTTCTCTCTGAAGGTCAACTTCATAAATGACGCAAGAAAAAGAGAATCCAGCGTATGGGGACTCCTAAATACCCAAACTAAATAAATAACAGTTGACATACCTTCATCTTTATAGGAATAATTAGTAGAGCCAAGTTTTGCAACTCAACAGGATGACATAAGAAGTTTGACCTCAAATTTACCGTGCAACGGAAACATCAGCACTAATCAACATCAAGAGCCCAAAAAGAATGACAGAGAGAAAATTAAGATTTCCCGAGAAGTTTAATTGCAGATTACATAATATTACAGTCATTATGAGGTGGCATTTCGATAATAATGGTTGATAGTTATGGCCATCATTAGCATCATAAGGTGATAATTTACAGTTGCTGTTGTAAAATGGTGGTAATTACCACAGAACAAACAACAACATGGCGCGTTTTCAAATTGCAATTACAATTGCAATTTCAATTTTCCACAAATCAAACAAGCTTTAAGATTTTCAGAGCTCAGGTGCGCAGGGACGCATATTTTGTATGGCATTCCAACAAATTAGAATTGAAAAAGAAAACAAAATCCACTACGCTTATTGCATAAACTGACAAAAGATTAAGAGTTTAACTTAACCCTGAACAGAAAAAATAAGCCTCAGCCTCGATGACCCAACCAAGGATACATGCTGACAACTGCTTCCTAAAATTCTTGCGACCCACAAAAGATACAGAACAGAAAAGAAAGAAAATAGATAAAGAGAAATGCTATCAAACAACTGAAGACATGATCCTTAAATATGTTTCGACCTGTATATATATGTATAAATAGTGCTGCCAGCAGTTTCCGCCTCATGAGACATGCACGAGCTACTGCATGGATGGGCGAGGTGCACGAGGGCGAACTGGAGTCTTCGAGGGGCTTACCCTGGAAACACAGAAAGTATCACAATAAAATCACTTGAGAAACAACTCAATGGAAATAATAATAATCCAACATAAGATGATTATTAAAGAATGTAAAGGTATTCTTTAAAGGTGTCACCTCAACGGCAAGGACCCCAGTACAGCACCGCTACAGTTGAGAGCAGCAATTGCACTCTCTGCCTGCAAGAGGAGATGTGAGTTATGAAGCACATCCTGATGTATTCTGGCACTAAAGACTTCTTCATATCGATGAGATTTTACTATTATAACAAGCCATGCTAAACAGAGTAACTCAATGAGTTGTTCAAAATCAGCTGTACTTCTACCTTTTGTGCTCAAGGTCGTATTTTCTAGTTTTCTATCACTTGCAATCACAAACCACTCTGAAGAACACAAACGTCCCAGACACCCCATAACAAAATGGAGCATCAGTTGAAACTACCTAAAATAATATGATAGTTTCAAACCTTCGCCTCAGTACACACTGGTATGCGGAAGCTCAGTACACACTCGTATTTTCACAGCTTTGAGAAGTGTAAATCTGAGTGTTTGCTCGCTGAGATTTCATCACTCAAAAAGCAACTCTGTAATTATGTGCATGGCGTGCGGTTCTGATTTGAGTTTAATCTTATTCGTCAAAGTAGATACTAGCACTTGACATACAAGAGCAGACAGACATGGCCCGTACTAGCATATATCAAGTGTACACGTAAACCACCTGCACGCTACCATCACCACAACCCTACCCCAACTACAATAACAACAAACTCCATTAACCCTGACTATTTATGATTAGACTACGCTAAGATTTGAAGAAAAATGTGTCACGGCTATCCTGAAGCAAAGTATAGCAAGCTTTTCTTCTCTTGCCTGTTTCCTAAACCCTTTTTTCAAGGCAAATTCCAAACCCTCTTCAATTTGAATCAAAGTCCATTTGCCACCTGAATCCTACATTTATTGGATTCTTGTCCTAGTGCATATCAAGATCTTCTTCATCATTGTTCCTTTTTCCTAGTTGCAACTCAGTATTTGCAAGTCGGTCTGCAATATAGTAAAGCCATACTGGCATGCATGAAACCTAGGTCCTATATCTGTATCTCATATGTAACACACTGACATTCTTCTAACAGGCCATAATGTCTATTGCTTGACCCAACATCATCCAAGTTTATCGACGGATATTTTTTAACATAGTTCTTCAATGTTGTATCTGAACAAAAATTTCCTAACTCAAAAAAGATTGAGGCACAGCATTTATTTATGAAATAAAGCACATGTTAAGCACAGTTAGCATATTTCATTGCAAAATATACCTTATGTAGGAACTTCATATTGGCATGACAAATAGCACATTTTAGTGGGTCACATTATACGGTTAGGTAAAATTTGGATTGGGAATTTGTTATAGAGATTTTAACACTAGGCAGATGTAAATGTAACTCCATTCCAAAATCTCCTAGAGTTACACAGTACATGGTATGTAGCGGGCCATGGAATGAATCAGGTACGCAATTTACCGCTTAGAAAATTTGGATTCAATGGGAGTAGCTTGCTTTGATACGCAAGTTTGGCCAGTAGTACGTTTATAAAAACTTTTGCATGCGCTTACCATTTTCCAAAGTATAGTAGAAAAGTAGAAACTAGAAAGCAAGTTTTGAATTTCAATATTTCCTTGTTATAGAGTTTTTTTTCCTGGTTTTGTTTTCACACAGTTCATGTTAGTATCATGGTTTCACTTCATGCTTTATTAATGAAGTTATTATGTTATAGTAAAGTTGTTAACTCTCGTATATTCTGTTGTGTGCCTCCTTTTACTTGATTGTGCACATTGAATTGCGTCTCGCAAATGTAAAATTAAAAGGACTTTGCGCCCCACATACTTGTAAGCGGTACGTCAATTTTGGGGAACCAATTCATGTATCAAAGGGAATCGGTTTGCAAATGTATTGAGAATTGGTTTGCATGAAACGTTTGATCGTTCTACGGGGTCTACGGAATCACGCAACTATGGTTTCTCCACTTAGAATCTCAAATCTGAACTGGTTTTAGAATCAGAACAAATCATTAGTTTTTTAATCTTAAGGANGAGCTAATTTGGAAATAGTTGGGTGTGAAAACCTCCACTTCAAATTTCAAAGTAGCGCTTTCAAAATTGGAACTCGGAGTCAAACATTGGGCAATTATTCAAATTGCTTTAAATATAAAGAAACCAAGATACAAATATTTTCAATATTTTATACCCATTCATCAAGTGTCCAAATATTTTAGGGTTAATTTCACATAAGCACCTTGAAGTTTGTTTACGCACGGATCTTTCACCTGTTCTCACTCGACCGCCTACCTGTAATTTGCAAAACTGAAGTTCCTTGAGAGAAAACTTCCAAAATTTGTCATTTGTAATTTACAGGAAACATACCCCTCCCCAAATTTGTGTGTGTTTTTCTTGCAAAACTGAAGTTCCTTGAGAGAAAACTTCCAAAATTTGTCATTTGTAATTTACAGGAAACATACCCCTCCCCAAATTTTTGTGTGTTTTTCCATCTCAAGGAAATAATATTTATTTGCAAATTACATGTATGTGGATCCAATGAGAAAAGCCTGAAGTTCAAGGGAGTTTTGTGAGATTCCTCAGAGTTAAGGGGGTTTTGTGAGATTCCTCAGAGTTAAGGGGGTTATGTCAGATAAATAAAGTTCAATGAGGTGGGAAAAAAACCCAAACTTTAGGGGTTTTGTGCAATTAACACAATATTTTATTTTGCATTCATTTTGGTACATCTATTTTGTGACTGCTTTGTTCATTAAAAAAAATAAAATAAAATTGTCTCCCACAATCTAGTTGACACAGGTCACAATTAGCTTTCCAATTTAGTGTTTGAGAATACTCCCATTTCAAACTTTGACACACATTCCGAATTAAAAATCTAAACCAGTCAATATGAATTAATATCTAAACCATATACTTAGAAAACAAGCACTGTGTATATGCTACAACCATTTGCAGGTGTCCGCAAAATGCAAGTATTTGCCTCCCACTTAACCACTGCAACCAAAATTTCAGCTAAAAATTGTGGGTTCATGTAGATACTCTCAACATTACCAAAAATAAAATAAAAAAAATTGTCTAAAGCAAGATAATACAGCTAGATGTCAATAATTATAGGCAAGAGGTAGAAATACCAACCCTTGCAAACTCAACAAAGGATATGCGAGTGGAGTGATGATAATCTCCAAGCATTCTCATGCGGTAGACCTGGTGTACAAAATAAGGCGTATAATAGATTTGTGCAGGACAGAGTAGTTGTTTAGTTTTAAAAATAGGCAAAAGAGCTATTAAACAATAGTATCAGAAAACTAACCGGTCCACATATTGATTCAAAAAACAGTTTCACATCAGCTTGTGTGACCTGCACCAAACAATGTTTAAAAGCTTGTGGATTTTACACTGTCCACCCTACAGAATTTCAGAGTACTAAGTATTTAAAATTTTTACCTTCTTATCAATATTTGTACAATAGATAGTCCGTGAACACATTTCACGTTCATCCTCAGACTGAAGCAAGGGTAAGAATTCGCCTCATTAGAAAACAATAATACATGCAATGACAAATGTAATGCATATACAACATGCTTGTTTATGTTATTGAGTAATTCTAGCTACATAATACCCAGATGAAGGACTTCCAAAATTTCTTACCCTCGGCAGAAATTTTGGGTCAACAGGCGCAATCGCAGTCTTTGAAGGAAGCACTTTTACAGGATAAAACCCAAGCATTGTTCCTGACAGGCTTAGAGCTGCCTTTGCACCTTCTGCAATTGTATAACTCGTGATACTGAATACAGTACCAACAAAACACAAATGGACCAGTAATACATGAAATATAAATAGAGAGATAGTTGCAGAAAGGTACCCTCATCAGTGAACTCAATAAAAGCAAAACGAAGAACAGAGTTTGGATCACCACATACACGACAGTCTACAACCTGCAGTCCATATACAGAGCATAAGGAAGTTGTTCCATCAGAAATCAAATAAAACCAAGATGAAAGAGAATAGATTAAACAGTAATTCACCTGTCCACAGTTTATGAAAAGGGCTGCTAGCTCTTCTTCAGTGACCTGACAAAGCAATAGATAAGTTGATTGGTAACATCAAAATTTATAGAGAGAACATTCTCTCCAATTTAATATCAGATACCAACAGCTGAAGAACAACACAAATAAAAGTCCATTTGCCAAAAGAAAAATGTTATAATAAGTCAAATAAATAAACAGTGACAAGCTGCTCTTCTTTAGGGCCTCCATACCATTCTATCATAAACTGGTGCCACCAATCCATTCTGCTGAAAGCAGAAATCACATATCTAAAGTTGGATAAGAAGAGAGAAAAAGTATAATGAAACTATGAGTTTTAAATCTTTTGATCAATATGTCAATCAACTTTTAAATCACGATAATGTCCACTGTGAGACCCCAACTTTAGTCCCACATCGGGAATTTAGGGTGAAATTGTGTGGCTTAAATAGGTAAGCCCAAGACTCAAGTGTAACACCGGCTAGTCGATTTTGGCAGTGGATTGAGCCAAATAACACGTTACACTGGGTGGGTCTCACGGCCTGCACGCACCAACAGGCCCGCGGGCCCGAGGCGTGACATCCACAATATCATAGTCATCCAAAAGGAGTACCAGACCATTGAGAGCCTTATGGTTCTGTTGAGAGAGGTCTTGCTAACAACTCAAGATATCCAGCACTCAAATTGTCCAGTGCAACTTGTGGATAATCATAACCCTATGTTGCATGGGTATAGAAATTGGGGATGGATATGACACAATATCCAGACACATGAAAAACTCTAACAAGTACACGACACAGATGTATCATGTTCAGTTTATGCATCTGAAATCTGTTTCCTGACATGTGTCCAAAACGTGCTTGACACGTGTTTTGACACATGGTCGACACGATAAGCATCATTTTTTAAAGTGTTTATGCTACTAGAATACCTCTGAACTGATTTCCAACTGAATCATTACAAGGGCAAAACAGTAGGATTGATGATATAGGTAAATTGATAAAAGTGTAAAAGCAGGAAGCTGGCTCAAGCATGAATACAGTCATTAACAAAGCTAAGCTCCATGCTAGTATGATAAGCTCCGCAGAAGCATGTGATTTGCATTTTATGCTGCATGCTGAGCATCAAAACCAACTTAATTAACAGCTACTTACACTAATGTGATATTTTCATCTTGCAGGTAGCAGCTGTGACTAGACAAGCTAAGTCAGTGAAGATGATATCATCCAGTTTTAAAATCAATTCAAGTAAAACTGTATGTCATGTTTAATAGGAATGAGGAACTTTTCCTAGCAGATCACAGCATTGCAAATATGAAACACAATGACTGGCCTTAGGGAGTTTCTGTGGGAAGTGACTTTACCCTACTATATTTTCAAGTATGAAATCTCAATTATTTTGTTTATTCAGATACTTGGTAATTTGGATCCATAGGAAGCTATGATGATTAAAACACATTGTATCAAGTATTTATGTACCACCTAGAAATCCTAATTATGACCCTGGCTGACATGTCATTCAACCATCAATGATATCAAGCACTGAATTTCCTCATTCCCTCATTCACTGGATGATGTCCCAATCTCCGACGACTGCGCCTCCCATTTCCTATAATGGTGACCACGTCTCTGATGATGGCATCTCTAATCCCGATAGTCGAGACTCTGGTCAAACGGTGGTAACCGAGCCCATAGTGATGATCCTAATCCTTATGTTAATTACCCATTTCCAGTTGTATATCTATGATCCCAGTTCTGAGAGTGTTTACACTTCACAACAATTCTGTCAGCGGGTTCACAACACGGCAAGGCAACATGGATGAAGACAACAGTATTCAAGTAGTTATATTGCTCTTTTTACTGTAAAAGCCTAAATGCAATTGATAGACAAATATCAAAATTATTTGATGCATTTTCTTGTTTTCTTCAGGTTGGAATGAGTTCTAGATGAGTCACTGAGGTTTGTATGCTGGTTAGGAAAACATTACCAGCATTAAAAGTTATTTATAAAATAACAAAATAATATTCTAACACCAATAATATCAAAATGCTTGTGATTGCAGTAACCATGACAGCCTTCATGTGTATTCCCATTTCCATACTGAATTTCAGCTTTTCAAAACTAAAATTTAGGATAGCATGCCTTAAAAAAGTTATGCATTGACCAATTAATGAATGTCAGCAACTAATAAGGCTGGACTATTACCTTTTTTCTGGACTGTTCAGGTTAAGGTTTGTAAAAATAGTGCTCCCTAAAGGACTTTCTGATGCTCTCTTGATAAGCTTATCAATGGTCTCAAATAAAGACTTGGGACATTTGGTCTCAGAAGGCATCCTGCTGTCACTTTTTGTAAATAAGAGATCAAGTCTTACCACAACAGAGCCGTCACTGACACAGGAGCAACATGGCATCTCCAAAGAGATTCTTGATCGAGGTGCCAGCTTAAGGCTGAAAGTGCAGAAAGGAAAAACCCTTTTTCACCCTCCCTTCCTCCTTGTTTGAGGTTCCAGCTGAAGGCTTAAAGTGCAGATAGGGGGAAAAAACGAATTTTCTCCTTCCCAAGCAAAGGAGCCAAGAGGAAGAGTTAAAAATTATAAGTTATAGTTCTAAAAGTTCAAGTCATAGCCTAAGCATTTGAAGATCGTTTCCTTTACACTTTATGTGCCAAAAGTGCATCACCCTCATAAGTTACCGTCGTCACAACTCAACCTTTACAGGATTATAGCTTCATATTGATACTTCAGGACCCATGATTTAGGCAAATTACCTTTTATTAGTCTTCATCCCCATGCTACGCTCGTCAATCTCCACTGTACACATCATTACCACTCAAATTTCAATGTTCATGATCCGACAACCGATAAGCCGACTGTAGCTACTCAGATGGCACTCACCACAATCAGTGGCAGTCTGAGTGGCAGTCTGGCAGATCTAGGAATTCTGGAAAGTGGTGTCCACGTAATTAATAATTAAAAAGCTTTAAAACTGATCTCCAACGAATTTTATTAGTTAAAAAAAACTGCATGTTCGCATTGTTAGTAATACTACCAGAAACATTGTACATGTAACTGATGATCCCATAGGGTGATGGAAACTTATCATGATGGTATGGTTACATCGGCAGCATGTTATATGCACTAGAGCTTTGAAAAATCTCAACTTAACCAATAAGGCACACAAGGAAACCCTTGGAGGAAGTGATGTCAGATGACACCACTTCCTCCGAATGTGGATCCGCCCCTGACCACAATCACCAAGAATTGCACTATAATATAATAATATAAAACATATCTACAAAAAAGGATTGCATAATTCATAGTCACTATTCTTTACCTTTTTCTCTGAAAATTCATAAATTATTACCTCTTAAACATACTTTCTCACCAAAGGATATGAGATATCGCCGTTCATACCATCGACCAATTTTTGCAACATTATCATGATTTATAGATTTTACTTTATCTGAAATAAAATTCCATGTACCTCTCAAACACTCTAGTCTATTCAACTGCAACATTTTATCAAAAAGGCTATTCTCGATACCCCTACCTTCACTAATCTTGATAATAGCAAATGCAAAAATGATTCCTTTGATCCGCCTATGTTCTTGTTCCATTATTTCAAAATGAGTTCTTCGGTGGGCCAATGTGAGCTTGTACAATATCTCAAACCTCTTTCCATAGGATTTATTATCGAACCTTCCTAGGTAAGTATTCATTATTTAAAGCAAAAAAGTTCAAACAATGTTACTCAACCTTTCGAGTTGGAGATCTTAAAACTATCAATCAAACATTGACTTTAAAATAAGATCCAGGTAGACATGGAATATTGATCTTAAAATAAAGATCCAGGTAGACAAGGATAAATTTACAATTCTGCATTTTCATTTAAAGCTCTATGGAGCCCCTTTTTTGAAAAAAAAAAAGGATGGGAATCCAAAGACTAAACTCCCAGTACGAGCCAACAGTCGTAAAACAACTCCTTATTGTCAGTCCCTACATTTTCATATAAAGATCCTAGAAACAACTTCCTCTTCTTCTAAGGATGTGAATCCAAACTTATTCCAAGCTAACTATATGGCAAACTTCTATCATCAATCACTTAATGTTGCATTATGGGATGGTAGTCTCTCCAAAATGTGTCAAGTATAAGTGTATAACTATAAGCAATTGAGTTCGCTATAGTTTGCCAAAAGACTGTAATTTGTTAACTGCAAATAATCTAACATTAAACCAAAATCAACCTTATTGATGCTAATTCCATTCAAGTCAAATATACAACACCACTTTTTCGGCATAAATTATGTATCAAAAGAAGCGAGTCTTGATTTTTGGGTCAACCTTTCAGCCCACCACTCTTGACACCTTAAAACTACCCAAAAGCAGTATTGCCAATCTAATTAAATTATGGACTTCACTTTATAATTAAAACCAATTATGATTCATGAAAGACTTTCTAATTATAATTTTAAGAAGTCATAATTGAAGAAAATTGTTTAATTAATTTCTAATTTGATTGAAAACTATAGACTCGTGGCCAAAGTGGCGGAAGCACAACAAAAATGACTCAAATTGTGAGCTTTTTCAATCACGTAACTTAATTAGCAATAATTACGTGAGCTTTTTCAATCACGTAACTTAATTAGCAATAATTACCAGTTGATCAATGTCGGACACATAGATTGTCCTCCTAATCACTTCTTCTCGCTGCGCCATATTCGTCCGATTGTTTATTCGCCGCTTCGCCTGGCCATAACCATTCCTTCTCTGAATCAAAGCAAAGATCCTATTTCAAAACCACAATTTTCCACCAAATTCCCATGAAACAAACAAAATAAATCCACAAAAAAAAAATGAACAAAAAATTCTACCCGCCTACCGCCGATCCTACCGATCCCACCATTGGGGAACCCATTCTGCATCACAAAGCCATTCGGGTAAGATCCGCCGCCGTTGGAGACCAGCGACGGCGGCACGAACTCCTCCGCCATGGGATTGAGCTTCGAGAGCAGCTCCTGCAGCTTTTTCACCTCTCGCTTGACCTCCTCTTCGCTTATCAAGTTCCTCTTCTCGTCGATCCCGCCGTTGGGTCGATCATCGGCCGCCGCCGGCGATCCCTGATCTGTGGATCCCACGTTGATCCCTAGATCGGATCCATCTGTGTTTTCGATGACGGCCATGGCGATCCGATCAATCGTTAGTTGCGATCAATGAAGTGGTTTGATTGTCTCGATCAAAAGAGGATTAAAGAACAAATAATGAAATAGATAGAGAGAAAGAGAGCTGGTCTTATTATATTATTATTTTTCGTAGTATTTTCTCTCTTTTTTTTCCCCGTGTTTCTGGTGTGAGTAAGTAAGGAAGAAGAAGAAAAAGACGGGGGAATGCGGAGATGGGCACGGACCCGTTTGGACCGACCGGATCCGGTCCAATGGACCGCCTTGATTGACACGGCACTGTCATTGATCGTGCGCAGGGCACGGATTGTTGCGTACGTGGATTGATCTCGGAGGACGTAGAAATCCCGCAGATCCACTGAAATTGAGGCATTTTTCGATATATAGTAGTTTGCATATTAGTCCCTCAAATCTTTACATTATCTTAGTCCGTCAATCTTCATTATGTGTTGACATAAGTTCTTTTATTAGGGTCAAGGTTAAAGACAATAAACCATGTGTTATAACATCAATTAACCTAATTATTAATTCTCCTCTTGGAGATGACATGTGCCACGTGTCAACATTAATCAATCATGCTAGCTCACCTTGTTAAGGGCGACTCAAGTAGACTGGACACTCGACCCCAGCTGAGCCAGGCTGAGTTGAGACCAGCTCCCACTCGACCTCATCAATCGAGTTGACCACCCTCATTCACTCAGAACTAGGTCGACATCTTGTGAGGCTGACTAGAGAGGCGATACATGTGGTCCCTTTCGCAGAACCGAGTCAAGAGACGGTTCGACCTCGAACTTCTCAGTGACAACTGTCTATCCTCATCATTGCGGGTACCATGAGTCTCCGTGACTCAACACCCCCTCATACCTCCTCAATCTCCACCACATCCAATCAAGGATGACTTATCGCATCTAGGCCGACATGATCAGAGCCAGATGGCTCGATCCACTCATGCGGCCGACTCCATAGGCCGACAATTAATGTGACCGACTCAAGAGGTGATACATGTTGGCCTATTCTCTAGGTCAAACCCTTTGAGATTTTACACTTGGCCCCCTATATCAGCCGACAACTTGCGTAACCGACTAACAAGGCGATGCTTATCATCCCTCAGCCTGACAACTAGAGAAACGGTGTATCCTCAAATCCTTCGCCAACAACCGGTCACCATCACATTAAATTCATGGTCAAAGTCATCACGGCTCTAGCCCAATTTATTTATGACTCATCAGATCCCGTCGGCACCAAGCAGTTGTCGTTGTTTTGCATTAACCACATTGATGACCATCTTCACTAGCGGTCGACACTTATTATCACAAGGGTAACTCATGCCACCTACAACCGACGCCTATCAGCTGTTTGCCGATTCAGATGTCTGTCTAGACTCGACTACAGTTACATATTTAACCCTCTCAGGTGGGTATATATGGGCTCATTACCTACTACTGTGGGGAGGGGGGACGGGGACTGGGGGAAACCCCCAGGGGGGCACAGGTATGCAACTTCCGCATGCTTAGAACTATTTTAGTTCATTGGTATCTTCTCCACTCAAGCTCAAATACTGACTTGACAGTTAGAGGAACCACCTGAGAACCCAACTTCAGTCCTCTAATGAGTGTTATTGTGCATCTCTCTTACGCAAACAGGAGACCGGTCTTCAAGAGAAATGAGGAAACCTACGTCACAAGATCCCTTACTAAAACTCGAGATTACCCGCTAATCTCACTGTTGGATCTCAGGACATCAACACCATCGTTGGGTTAACCCTAACCATGGATAGCTAGTTACAAGAATAACCTCTCTCTCTCTGTGTGACCCCTTTCTTCCTCTCTCTCTCTCTCTCTCTCTCTCTCTCTCTCTTTTTGTTAGTGTGTGACTCCTTTCTTCCTCCTCTTATTATCATTATTCTCCAAACTCTTCATGTTCTCCTCTAAATTATAATTCAGTCCAAACCCATCAAAAGCTCCTATCATTAGCTCCTGTTCCTTCTCATTCCCCTCCCTAATCATAGTGAGTTGAGCTTCAATCAAATGATTAGCCTCAAGGGGCGTCAAAATCTTTGACTCATTAACAAATTGAGGGGAGAAGAAGAAAGGAAAACGGGTCTTAGTTGTTCTAAACTGGTATAATTTTTGGGGTAGATGTATGGGTTTCGGTTTGTTAAGCGAGGGTTAAAAAAAGTCAATTTATGGATGGAAATTAAACATAACGGAATATTTCCCTCATTTATTCCCTAACTAACCATTGGACTTATCCACGCAATATGATGATTTCAGGGACTACCATCAAAATATAAAGATTTGAGAGACTAAGATCAAATTAATAAAGGTTTAGGACTAATATTTAAAAACCACGTTGTTAAATCATAATATTTAGGTGTTTCTATGTTAGTCCCTTACACACCTTTGATATTATGAAACTAGTCCCTCAAACCTCTAAAATTGTTATTGGAGTCTTCAATTCTTATCATATTATATTATTATTATGACTTGCTCTTGATTGTAGACACTAATGTGAAAGAAGAAATATGAATTGGGGAACCTAGTAACAATATTCAATGATTTAGGCAACTAATTTTGAGGCAATTTTAGGGATTGTGGGATCTAAAAGCAATTTCAATATATGAGGGACTGATCGCAAACATTAAATATTTAAGGAACCTATATATATCCGAAAACCCAAATCTTAATCGGACGATAATTTATATAGAATGAAAAATAATGAAAATATAAGTGACATGTAAGAATACATCAAAAGTGATTAAATATTTTTTCAAGATAAACTCTAAAATATAGCTCTCCAGTGTTTCATTAAAAAGGAAATCTTAAAGAAACAACTCCAAATATAGAGAGAGACAAGTATAAATATGAGAACTCTCATCAAACCTGACCCCTCAAACAAAAAGAAGAAAAAGAAAAGGAAACCTAATATCTCAATTCACAAGCGGTGATAGCAAGAAGCAAAAAATATAATTAAATATCATTGGGGCAATTAATAATTATAATCCAATAAGTCGCATGGTGGTAGATAATTAAAATCTTGAAGTGTAGCGGTAATCACTTACGCAGAATCTTCAATCATATCCACGCTGAAAACGGCACTTTACTGGTACTTTTTTTTGGTTAATCTTTTGACTTTATTAGCAATTATTTTTTTAGGGTCTGAACCACAAAGTTGTTGGGATTTTGTCTTTGATTCTTTGTGTAACTTCATGGGAATTAGATAGGGTTAGAGTTCTATCATGATTAGGAGTTTGGGTTCTATCATGATTAGGAGTTTGAGTTCTATCATGATTAGGAGTTTGAGTTCTATCATGATTAGGAGTTTGGGTTTTATCATGATTAGGAGTTTGAATCCTATTCTAATTAGGAAGTTAGGCTAGAGATAGGGTTTTGGTTTCCCTATATATTCTTCTATTGGTAGAGGAAAAACCATAAAGAAAAAATAGAGATGTAATAGATGAGAGAGAGAGAGAGTTTCGTAGTCTTTATCCGTGCAAAAGATTACAAGGAGTGGGCTTTAGAAAGAATATGAGAGTTGATTATATATGTGAGGTTGAGAGATTAAAAGACGAGAGTTGAGTGGTTCCTCTTGTAGTTCTCCCTGATACATAGTGCATTTCTCGTATTATTGCCCCGTGGACGTAGGTCGAAGTTGGTCGACCGAACCACGTAAATCTCGGTGTTCTTTTTCTTGATTGCAGTTGTTCTATCTTATTGATTAGTGTTGGCTTCCGAGTTGCGTATATCGTGGTAGGTGGGGAGACTGAAATTCCCCAACAAGTGGTATCAGAGCGATGATGATGGATTCGGGAGCGAGTTCACAAGATAGAAGACGATGTCGTGCAAGATTGAAAATCGCTGTTACAAGAATCAAGATGAAAAAAAGGGAAAGGTTACTGTAGCAGAACACTGTAGCGCGGCGGGCACTGTTCACATGGCGATCCGACGGTCCTGATTGATTTGTTAGCCGATTGAGGATTTGGAGGCGGATTTTGGTGATCCAGGAGTCGTTCCTAGGTATTTCGACGTGCTGAGTTCGTTTTTGGCATCGGTTTCATCAAATTCAAACTCTACAGTGACTGATTTGAATTTTGATTAGAGAATGATGACTTCTTCGGGGTCCGAAGTTTGATATTTCGCTATTTAATGGTAAGACAAATCTGATGGTAGATAAGGAGCAGGAGTTGGTTGGTGTGTATACTTGAGGAGGGAAGTGCCAGATTAGGTGGAGCTTGCAAGCGGGCACGACCGAGTGACACACATGGAGATAAAGATGGTGGCGTTGGACTTAAAGATGGTGAGCGCTCATATTCAGTCCAAGCCAAGTGATGGAGGAGATAAAGGCATCTGGTTCGTAGTGTGGAGTAGAAGAGGTGCACCGATATGATTCGAGACGAGGGATGCAGGTGGAGCACAAGGACAACAAGAGAGGTGGAGGCGTCACGGCGAAGCAGAAGATAGTGAGGATCATGAAGGCATCCAATTGGGAGTGCAGGGGTTCTGATTTGAAGTGCGAAAGAAATAGAAGACTCTAGCGAGAGAGACAAAGTTTCAAGACGACGATGATATATCTTTAAGGGAGTTTGGGAATCAAATCCAAGGTGGAGATTGTTGAGATTTTATCTTTGATTCTTTGTGTAACTTCATGAGAATTAGATAGGGTTAGAGTTCTATCATGATTAGGAGTTTGGTTCTATCATGATTAGGAGTTTGAGTTCTATCATGACTAGGAGTTTGAATCTTATTCTAATTAGAAAGTTAGACTAGAGATAGGGTTTTTGGTTTCCCTATATATATTCTTCTATTGGTGGAGGAAAAACCATGAAGAAAAAGTAGAGATGTAGTAGATGAGAGAGAGAGGGTTTCGTAGTCTTTATCCATGCAAAAGATTACAACGAGTGGATTTTAGAGAGAATATGAGAGTTGATTATGTATGTGAGGTTGAGAGATTGAGAGACGAGAGTTGAGTGGTTCCTCTTGTAGTTCTCCCTGATACATAGTGAATTTCTCGTATTGTTGCCTCGTGGACGTAGGTCGAAATTGGTCGACCGAACCACGTAAATCTCAGTGTTCTTTTTCTTGATTGTGGTTGTTCTATCTTATTGATTGGGGTTGGCTTCCGAGTTGCGCATATCGTGGTAGGCGGGGAGACTGAAATTCCCCAACAAAAGTGTACCCA